AAAAGAAATAAGTAGTATGAAAGGACAATTCAATGCATCAAGAACCACATTGTAAAAGATATTAGCTCTGCATCCAAGTAGTTTTCTGTCCCCCTACCTAGTTCTTTAATCTGTTTATCACTATTACTATTGTAAATTGAAATTGGGTTGGTTAGTTGGTTTTCTTTGGTTTGTTACAAGCTGCTCAAGGTTGGGCAGCCATATACATTCTTTAAAATAAATATAATTAATGCTAATCCAAATAAAAAGTAAATTTATCAAAAGTCACAAAAACAACAGCTGAAATTATCATTCTACCCAGAAGATTTAGCTGAAGTCTTGATTTTCTTCCAGGTGGAATGCCCAAGAAAATGCATTTCACAGTCTGGGCTCTTACGTATAGTAAGACATTCTCTTATATGGGTTGTATTGCAATACAAACTAGTATTGCAATATTGCAATATTTATTACAATATGATTAAGATTCCCTGTAGCAGGCAAACCATCCTTCAATGACTAGGAGCTTTGGGTCATGCACTGTTTTCTAACCTAATATCCCTCACAGAGACTATCTTCCAGAGATAAGGAGAAGGGCAGATTGAATGCCTCTTAGGCTCTTGGAGGAAAGGAAGCATATCAGGATAACATGATTTATGGTTTAACATGAAACATGAAACATAACATGATAACAGGATATAACATGGAAATATATAACATCATAACAGGATAACATGAAACATGGTTTATGCAATATTTAATGCTGCATAGTTGAGCAATATCTGAGTTCCTCATAAAATTACAGAATGGAACAATGAAAGATGTCTCCATAATTTCCTTAAACCAATTATTAGAAAGCACTCTCCGAACAACTAGGGAGCCAGTCTGATCTAGTGATTAAGGCACCAGGCTAGAAAATGGGAGTCTTTGAGTCCTGCCTTAGCCACGAAAAGCAGGTGGGCAATTTTGGGCCAGTCATTCCCTCTCATCCCAACACACCTCACAGGGTGGTTATTGTGGGGGAGAAATAGGAGAAGGAAGATATCTTGGATATGTTCACCACCTTGAGTTATTTGTAACTATGATAAAGGTGGCATAGAAATAAAGAAACAGCAGGGTTCACTTCTCAATAAATGCCTATTCCAAATCCCTTGAGAGAACATTTTCTAGATCTTTTCAGACCTCAATAGTTCAAATTGCCAGATAAAAAATTGCCAGATAAAAAACATTTTCACCATTCTGGCTGGGAAGCGCCACATTTGGAGAATGCCAAGTTGCAGAAGGACTACTGTATGAATCTTTTCATTAAAAAAAATTAAAGCCATATTAAATGTATGTACAGAATAACTGCATTATTGGTTAATCAAAGCTCATGGCCTAGTTCTCTGCAGGACTGCTTGTTCAATGATACCTAACATCTGATTAGATCTAGGCCATCAGGCTTACGGCATGTCCAATGGTTAACATGTACCAGCTTCCCTAGGTAGAGCAGACAGGAAATTTGATCAGATGAGCTGCTTCTAATTTGTTGTAAGACAGCATTCCAGCAAACCTCCATTCCAACCAATAACTGGGGAGACAGACATCTTCTCAAAAGTTCTGTTTTATTTGGATAGTAAACTGGCACATCTGCGGAATCCCAAATCTGAAAGTTCCAGGCTTCCTTGCAATAAGTAAAAACTACAAATCTACCCCCTGCACCCATCATCACATCACATGCCCCTATTGCCATCCGTCCCAATTTGAGACTTCCCCTCACTTATGTGCAGAATAACATGACCTTGACTTAGAAAAAGAATGCTATTTTGTCTAACCACATACATTCCAAGAAATTCCCCCCGCCTCCCATTTTCCCAGGCTCAAGAATGTAGCAGTGTGGAAGCATCTGGTCTCAATATGGCTTCCAAAGCTGACATACAGTGGCACTGAAAAAAGTGACTTATGACCATTTTTCACACTTGTGACTGTTGCAGCATCCCCATGGTCACGCGATCAAAATTTGGCCACTTGGCAACTGGTTCATATTTATGACGGTTGCTGTGTCCCAGGGCCATGTGATTCGCTTTGGCGAGCTTCGGACAAGCAAAGTCAATGTGGAAGCCAGATTCTCTTAACAACCATGCAACAACTAACTCAACAACTGCAACGATTCACTTAACAACAATGGCAAGAAAGGTCATAAAATGGGGCAAAGCTCACTTAACAAAGGTCTCACTTAGCAAGAGAAATTTGGGCCTCAGTTGTGGTCATAAGTCAAGGACCACCTTTACAGCCTGGTGGTAGGTGGGGAGTGTTCCTTCTGAGCTTGATTGTCCATTCCTTATGTGACTGTGGGCTCTGCGCTCTTAGCTGCTCTTTCCCAAGGCAACATCTCTTCTGACCATCTTCCATTTCCACCTACCCTCACAACAACTTGTCATCTTGTGGACTTTGGAGATGGGCTCTTTGTCTGTGGGCCCCATCCCTCCTGCCCTATGAGATTGTACCTTCTCTAAAAATCTAAATCGTTTCATCCCCATTTTTGTTGAGAGAAGCCTTTAAAATCCTTTTTTTTCCCAGCAAACCTTTCGTTATAATGATTTTGGATTTTATTCCTTGGTGCTTGTTATTTTCTTCCCTGTTAAACAGATATTGGCTGCTGTTGTTGCTTGCCATTGTTTTCGGCTTATTTCATTGCTTTAACATATTGCATACATCTAGAGCCATGATGGCAAACCTATGGCATGATGCTGGAAATGGCACACAGAACCATTTTTGCTGGCACGCGAGCCGTCACCCGGAACAGAGCGCCTCCTGACAGCCACCTGATTGTTGGGTATCTCCCATGTGTGTGCCAGGGCAGGGTGCATGTGGGAGACATGCGTACATATGCAGAGGTGTGCGGCGTGGTGGGGTCGTAAGCGCATGCACAGAGACGTGCAGGGCGTTGTGCGCGCATTGCATTATGGGTGCAGGAACACACGTATGCACTTTCACCACATAATGATGAAAACGTTAGCCATCACTGGCCTAGAGTCACTTAGAACCCGAACCCTAACCCTAATCCTAACCCTAACTTTTGGCAGCTTTCAAATGCATTTGACCTATATGATTATGATAGCTTACAAAGTGAAGAAACAATGTTTCTGAGCCGGAAGGCAGAACCTGACTCAACAATGCAGCTTGTTGGGAAATCCTTGGGCAAGTCTGCCTCTTTCCATCCTACAGCTGCCCCTTCACTCAGCATAATATTCAACTATTTGAAGATCTGATGAGGAGCTGCCTATTAGGGCATCTAATAGAAAATCAATTTTTGCCATTTTTTTCACAAAGGGGTTCTAAAAATATGTGTTTCTTACACCAAGAATTCAAATCTGCTATTATTTTTGCAATTGCATGATTAGTTAATACAGTAAATCCACATCTGATGATATACCCCACAAATATTGTTAAGTTTGTCTTTTCAAAATTACACCTTGCACTACAAAAATTGAAAGTTTGTTTCTGCATGAATCTTATCTAGCTAAGGAAAAATTAATCCATGTAATCATACACTAACATCAGAAAGCAATTATCTGAGTTACAAAAATGTTTAAGCAAGTTTCATCGAGTCTTGCTTTGATTTGTTCTACATCAGATGTCAACACTTCTTTTGCCTCTGATATAACCCTTACATTTCTCATGTGTACACACTCTGCTTGCTGCCTCTGTAACCTGTTCCACACCTCTCTCTATTGATTGGGCATGGCAGGGCCATTGTGGTACTTGCATTGGTTTGTTGATGAACTTCTTTATTACCACTATAGTCAGTTTGCACGTCAAAGGTGGCTCGTATACTCCTTCAGACCAGTCAATCAGCTCCAGCACAGTGAATGCTCTGGCTTGACCTCTAGCCAGTGCATGGCATCACCTCCACCGGTATTAACATTTGTAGAATCTCTTCCAATGGTTTTCAAGCTTTTGTCAATGCCTTTCTTCTTCATGAAACACACCAGATTACCTGGAATCACTTGAGCAGGTTTTCCTGTTTTTGAGCCTTTCTCTGGGGTGAAATGATAAAGATATCTTCCACCCAGCTCACTGCACACCGAATAATGTTCTTCTTTGATGGGGAATTGCTGGTCTGAATCACTTGCTGGGGAATTGCTGATCAGAAAAGTTACACTATTTATGTAGCACATCCAAATTATATTAAAGTAACCAAAATACCTTTACAATCCCCAAGGCATGTCACAACTTTTGAGCATCCCTAATGTTTGAAAATTGAAAGTTGAAAAACTTGGCTGGAGGGCCTTGCTTGAGGGATACAGACCCTAGGATGACTCCTTCCCCCCCCCACACATCTGTATTAACAACTGCTAACCCACCCACCCCAATCTTGGTATTTCTCACCTTTTGAAATGTAATGTTATTTTTGTAATTTTAAAACTTTTAAATCTTAAATCAAGTCTGATTTTAATATTAATTTTATTAATTATATTGTACACTGTCCAGAACTCCTCTCTGAGAGGTTGGTAAAGAATTAGGAAATTAGGAGGTAGGTGGGTAGGTAGGCAGGCAGGCAGGCAGAAAAAAAAACAAATAACATTTTTTAAAGCAACAGAATAGAATAGAATAGAATAGAATAGAATAGAATAGAATAGAATAG